CAGGACTGTGTGTGTGTGTGTGTGTGTGGGGGGGGGGTGTTTTAAAGGGATTTTGGGATTTAACAGCAACATTTTGCCATTATTCTGAACCTATATAACTTTTGAATAAATAGTTCCTTTCCTTTTTATCAACTGGCATTGACAGCCACAGTTCTTACTGGTGGGGGGCCAAAAGAACCACAGAGTAAACAGAACCCACATGGGGACGGGGGCAGGGAGGGACTGGGAATGGGAGTGGGTGGGGTTCTGTTACATAATGTCTTCAGGTAGGTTGTTATTATTACTATTATTTTTATTTTTATTTTTATTTTTGGTTTGGCTTAGTGTTCCTAGTTCTCAGCAAGAGGATTAGTGTGTAACAAGCTATTTAGCTATTGGTGGAATCTTACCTGTATTTGAAAGTAAATATTCAGATATCAACTACACATAGCAGGCTTTGTCTGCATTACTATTATCTTGTGCTGATTATATATTATAGTAATTCATGCAATCATAGGATCATTTATAACATAGAAGTTCATGAGTGCCAAAAATAACACAGAATAAGTTATTTAGCTATTTGGTTAGTTTTAAAAATCTACCAGAGTGATTTTTTCCTTTTTAAGAATACCTCTGATTTTATTGCCATTTTAAATTCCTTTCTTTTTTAAAAAAATTGTTTTTCAGTTACATTTTATATTCAATATTATTTTGTATTAGCTTCAGGTGTACAGTATAGTTGTTAGAGAATCCTAAGTTTACAAAGTGGTCCCCCTTCAATATTTCAGGTACCCACCTGGCACCATACATAGTTATCACAATATTGTTGACTGTATTCCCTGTGCTGTACTTTACATATCTGTGACTGTTTGGTAGCTACCAATTTGTATTTCCTAATCCCTCATTTTTTTTTACCCAATTCCACAATGCTGCTCCCTTCTGGCAACCATTAGTTTGTTCTCTGCCTCTATGAATCTGTTTCTGTTTTGTTCCTTAGATTCCACATATAAGTAAAATTATATGGTAATTGTTTTTCTTGGTATGACTTAGCATATTGCCTTTTAGGTTCATCCATGTTTACACAAATGGTAAAATTTCCTTTTTTATAGCTGAGTAATATTCTACTATATCTGTATACCACAACATTTTTATCCACTCATCTATTGATGGGCACTTGGGCTGCTTCCGTAGCTTGGCTCTTGTAAATACCACTGCAGTGAACACAGAGGTACACATATTCTTTCAAATTAGTGTTTTGGGTTTCTTTGAACATATACCCAGAAGTGGAATTTCTGGGTCATAGGCAGTTTCATTTTTAATTTTTTGAGGAAACTCCACACTGTTTTCCATAGTGGTTACACCAGTCTGCTTTCCCACCACCAGTGCATGAGGGTTCTCTTGTCTCCACATCCTCGCCAACACAAGTAGTTTGTTGATTTATTGATGATAGCCGTCTGACAGGTTTGAGGTGTTACCTTATTGTGATTTTAATTTGCATCTCTCTGATACTTAGTAACACTGAGCATCTTTTGAGATGTTTATTGGCTAGCCCTGTGTGCCCATTTTTAAATTGGTTTGTTTTTTGTTGTTGTAGCTTGACTTCTTTATATGTTTTGGATATTAACCCCTTACTGGATGTATCATTGGTGAATATCTTCTCCCATTCAGTAGGTTGTCTTTTCATTTTGTTGATAGTTTCTTTTGCTGTGCAAAACATTTTTAGTTTGATGCAGTCCTATTTATTTGTTTTTCATTTGTTTCCCTTGCCTAAGGAGATGTATCAGGAAAAACACTGCTAAGAGAAAGGTCAGAGATTTTACTGTCTGTGTTTTCTTCTAAGGAGTTTTATAGTTTCAAGTCTTACATGCAAGTCTTTAATTCATTTTGAGTTTATTCTTGTATATGGTGTAAGGAGGTGTAGCTCTGGCTGAGTGGCTCAGCTGATTGGAGCATTGTCCCATACACCAAAAGACTGCAGATTTGATCCCCAGTCAGGGCAGATACCTAGGTTGTGGGTTCAGTCCCCAGTTGGGGCTCATATAGGAGACAACCAATGGCTGTTTCTCTCTCACATAAATGTTTCTTTCTGTCTCCTTTCCTCTTTAAAATCAATGAATATATCCTTGGGTGAGGATAAAAAAACAAAAAACAAAAAGAAGGTGGTCTAATTTTGTTTTTTTGCACCATTTATTGAATTGACTGGCTTTACCCATTGTATGTTCTTGACTCCTTTGTTATATACTAATTGCTTTATTCTTAAGCTCCCTATTCTGTTTCATTGATCTATGTGTCTGTTTTTATGCCAGTACCATGCTGTTTTTATTATAACAGACTTCTATGTTTGATATCAGGTAGCCAGATTGATATTTAATTTATTCATTTATTATTTATTTCATGCGTAAATATAACAATAGGTTTATATATACATAAATCTATATATAGAGATCATGTATATATTATTCTCACCCCTTTTCTTTTTCTATTGGGTGGTTTTATTCTGATTGATCTGAGAAAGTTCTTTGTATGTAAGAGATGCTCTTTGCCAATATGCGCTACAAATGTTTATCAATAGTCAATGTGGTTTATATGACTACATTTTAGGATTTGTTGAGGTTTTGTGGCCTTTTTATAGTACTTTTAAAATATTAATGTTGCACAGATAGTTATAAAGAAAGTATAAATGTACAAGGTGTGTCCAGAAAGTATCCAGCTGTGCAAAAATAAAAAATACATTTATTGAAGAAAATACCAGATACAAGACACATTGTACATAGGACGGTGACACCTCAGTCCCCTTCAAAGTTGTGACCTTCTTGAGGAAATCTGGTTCCTTGGTAGGGGTTTGAATTAGGTCTTTAGCAACTGCAGCACAAGGCTCCTTGTGCTCTGGCAGCACAAGCCAGGGAACGAATTTTGCCTGAATACATTTCATGCCAAGATCCTGTGTCAAAATCTCAGACACAGTAGTTTTTGGAATCCCCAGATCAGCTTCTAGTTCTCGCACTGTCAGTTTCTCATCTTTGTTGATTGTGGTCTGTACACCTTCAACATTCTCAGGCGTTCTGCTTGTTGCAGGCCTTCAGAACAGGGATCACTTTCAACAGATTCTCCACCATCTTTAAAGCGTCTCCTCCACACTTTTATTTGTGCTACACTCACTGCATCATTTCCAAAGACTTCTGAATCATCCAAATAGTTTCCGCGGTGAACGTTCAAGCTTAACACAAAGTTTGATGCTGATTTGTTGCTCTACTTGCTCAGTCATTTTTAATGTGATGGCCAAACAGTACACATGTTCACTCAATGGTATATACCTCCCCCCCTCCCCGCGACTAGTACAGCGAAGTCGTCATTGTTTATGCATGCGCATTCTATTCTTCTCTCCTTGGCTGCCAGGTTACATCAGTGTCATGCAAACCACTCTCATTATATTAATAATGGCTGTACTTTTTCTGGACAGACCTCAAACAATTACAGTACATACATGCACAAATACACATACATCCATACCCATATACAAGACCTTATTAATTATATTATTCAGATTCTTTGTATCCTAATTTTTGAGGGATCAGATTGATTTACCAATGAATATGAGTAGTGATTTTACCCTTTTTCATGATAAAGAGTGTCATTCTTGGTCCTTTGGGCCTTGAATTTGAGCTTGTCAAATGTTAATGTTGTAATCCATGTGTTTTGGAATTGGTGGGATTGAGTAGGTTTCATTTTTAAATTCATCTTTGTCTCTCTAATTTTGAGTTCTTCGCTTTCCCCTCCTTTCATGTAGATGTAAAGAACAAATACATGGTTAAGTCCCCACACGGTATCACAGGTGGAGGAAGTGGGCTGTACCTGAGTTTCTGAAGTATAAATATATTCTGAAGAATATAACTGGGTAGAAGTGTGTGGATCTTCCAGACGAGAGCGAAGGATTAAAACAGAAATGAGGCCAGTGCGGAATATGAAGTATGTTTGCAATATGGAGAAGGCTCATTCTGGAGCAGGAAGTCTGAAGAAATAGGCAGTAGATGTGGGTTAGTGAGGTAGGACCAAATTTTGGAGGATCCTGAAAGCTGGGCCAAGTAATAATTCTTCATTTATAAATTAGCTGTTTTTCATGCAAATAATCAGATGAGTACATATTTACAAAGTAAGTCTAGGTCAAAGCTTGCTGTACAGGATTTTCTTTAATGCATGCTTATGTCCATCTTAGAACTTCATATTCCTTTATTTCGAGAAATCAGAGCAGTGTACTGTGATTCACATTAACTATTTAATACATATTCTTTGAGTTTTTATCTTGCATTTGACATTCTAAGCAGGTGATTTTGGGAGTAACGATTGAAGTTCATAACCTCACCTCAAAGAGATGTTTTAAGTCTGTCGCACTGTGGATCAGTCTAGAACTACTTTCCTTCCATTCTGTTTTTCTCCATGCTCTTCTGCTGTGCCCACCCCAAAATCATAACTATAAATTTCCTGGCATACCTTAAACCAGGAGTGTCAAACTCATTTTCACGGGGGGCCACATCAGCTTCTTGGTTGTCTTAAAAGAGCCGAATATAATTTTAGGACTGTATAAGTGTAACTAACTACTCCTTAACTGTTAAGGAGTTGAAATTACACTACAGCCTCCCTTTGAAGGCAACCGTGAGGTTGATGTGGTCCCCAGTGAAAATGAATTTGACACCTCTGCCTTAGGCAGATAAGGTGACAATATGCTAAATGTGGGTGGATGGCCATTTCTGCTGGCCTGTACAGTTCAGGCCAGCATGTAGGACAGTGACTTACTGAGACCTGAATTGGACAGTAAATGCATTGTTGCCAATATTTTTCAGTGTCCATCATGCACAGATTGCTGTGTGACGATGTGGAAGCCAGGTCCTTCCATTGAAAGATATCATAGAGTTCAGGATGGTTAGTGCTTCACAAATGGCACTTTTATTCTAAAAGAGGAGGTTAGAGAACAGAGTGTTTCCCTTTGGCTTTTGCATAAAGCTTTATGTCTTTTCTGTTTCTAGGGGACTCCTTCGCACAGTTCCGGTTTGCTGAGGAGAAAGAGTGGGATGCCGAGGCTTCGTGTCCAAAGCAGGTAAGCTGGATTGTCTTGAATGTGAGTGGATCGGCTCTTCTCAAGGCTGAAGGCTGTCCTCTGGAGTCATTGTTGAGGTAGAGTGTTTACGTAGAAAAGATTCTAGTAATTCGTGTACAGCTTAGTCTCAGTTTCCTACATTGCTCATATAATTTACAGGGAGCTTAAATTTTATAGGTCCTTGAAGGTTGAGTTTGCCTTCATACTTGCCTTCCTGTGTAACTTGCTCACACAGACTAGGGTGCAGGGTAGAAAATTTATAGTCATGATTTTGAGTTGATTACTTTGCTATTTGGGCTTGCTTCTTTTCCATTTCTGTGAAAATTCCCCTTAGGGCTGAAAATTAATTTTTTCTCCCCCCCATTGTTTTTGGTGTTAAAATATCCCTTACTTTATAACTTTAAATAACTCCTCTTCCAGAATTAGGAGAATAAAGTTATCAAATAAGAACAAAATCACAGATGTCTTTCAGTGAATCTATAAAACCCAATTATTTTGTTTTGTGTACATGCCATATTTTCTTCCCAAAGAGTTTTGATTATTTTTCAAGCATGATTTCACTGATTCTTTCTATATGAAAGATAACAGGTATTTTAAAATGCACAGAGAATTACTGGTGGGTTGTCATATGCTCCCCGATTCCAGGGTTAGTGCATGTACTCTCTGGTACAGTGATTAGACAGTCTGCCCATGGCCTCACACGGTGGCTGAGCAGCAGACCCAAAGCCCAAAGGTAAGGCACCCTCCTCCCCATTCCGGTGCCAGCTCAGTACCCACACTGTAGGTGGCTCATTTGATCTCTGGGCTGGTGGTAGTTGTTGTTTGGGATGGACAGTCTTATACAAAATGAGGAGATGGAAGTTACTTGTAAAAAGACTGCCTGTCATAATATATACTTTGAGTATAATATATACTCTTTGCAAAGAGTATATATTATAATATACAGGAAGTTAGGAAAAATATTTCCTAAAGTTACTAAAAATATTTGCCTTTGCTTGAGTCTCTTTGGACATATACCTGGATACAGTTGAGAATTTTAGGACAAGTTGAAAGCAGACAAACCGAGATCATTGACGAATATGGTGAAAACCAAACAACTCTCATTTCAACTCCTTTTGGGCCATGTTGGCATCAAAGCACTGAGCAACCATTATTTACTAGATGTTTTACCAGACGCAGCTTATTCAAAGGTGAAGACAGAGGCATGCTTGTTCATCACCCTGCATGCCCTGCCTTAGTGGCTGACTTATAGTAGATGATCAGTAAATATTTATGTAATAAATGAAAAAAAATGAGACGTAAAGTAAGTGGTGTAACAAGTGCACTAACATACTTCTGTGAGAGACTGCTATTGTGGGCTGGAAGTGATTGAGAGCAGCGCCATGGGGAAGAGACCATTTGAATGGACCCTTGTGGATGAGTGTGATTCTGGTAGGTCCTGCCGGGGGGACAACAGGAGGAGGAAGAGGCGATCCGAGAGAGCAGGCTGCGCTCAGCTGGGGAGCTTGGCTGCAGTGCAGTTTCCCCGGAGGAGGAGCTTCAAGGTCTGGGCCAGTTAGTACCAGCAGTCTGGTCCTCATTTTTTCCCTGGGGCAGTTTAGCATGTAAAAGACAAACCTGAGTGTGAATCCTTGCTCTGCAACGTGGGCAAACTCCCTTTCTTCTCTTGTTTTCTCATCTGTAAAATGGAATTAATAATAAAACATAACTTGGAGCTTTAATGAGGATTACATTCAATTATAAATCAAAGCCTTTTAGCATAGTTCCCAACATGTAGGAAGCACTGAAAACTAGCTCATGTGACTACAGTTATTCACAGCAGTTTAGTTGAGCAAGAAAATAGAAATGGTCAGATTCGACCTCAGCCAATGGGAAGGAGGAGCTGAGAGCTCGGAGGCTGGAGGGAGGGCAAGCATTTAGGGAGGATATTATGTCGGGTGAGTGGGAAGGGGCGGCCCGACAGTGTTTGGGGGCAGTGAGGGTAGAAAAGGGCCGCAGATAGATGGGACTTCAGCAGAGGATGAGGTAGCCTGTGGCACTGACCAAATACGAAACATGGGGACAAGAAAGATTTGTAATTGTACATCTGGGCTAGGTCAGTGGGGATGCCATTAATGGGGCAAAAGGAGAGTAGAAAGAAGGCAAGTTTGACCTTGGGCATTCTGAGTTGAGGTTGTGGTGGGGCATAGTCAAAACCGAATTTATCATTTCTGCATCAAAACTGTTTTTTGTCCCACTTAAATCCTCTTTGTTCTTGTATACTTGAGAGAGAGAAAGAGAGGAATTTACATATGTGTATTTGTATAATCACACACACAAACACATGTATGTATTTTCCCTCATGCCCCCTCTGCCCCCAGGGCAACCAGTGGCACAATACAGAGAAAGGGGAAAAAGTAGGAATTTGATAGTGGGAGATGTTTGGTCCTCAAAGGACGTATACCTTATATGTCCTTATAGGAGAGGGGCCCAGCACCATCATGGTGACTTGCCTTTGTTTCTTTGTGATCCCTGTGCAGGGAGACAGCGGCGTAGCCTGGTGGTGGGCGCACGTTGGTTACTGCGGGGGAGCTGTCCCTTGGGTCCAGGAGTGGGATTTTCACGTTTTTCCTTTGGATGGTACGGGGACATGTGTGGAGGGGAAGGGTAGCAGGAGAACTTCTTCAGGTGGAAAAATAGAACTGTTTTAAGATCACCTTTTTCATTTCATTTTTCATTTTGTCGACATGGTGACTTATTTATTTAACAGAACCCCTTAAGCAACTGTTGAGTGTCGGATGACACACAGTGGTTCCTGAATGCCTGGCTTCTAAAGGTGTAGACTCCCAGGTCCATCCCCCAGAGCCCAGCTCTGACTGAGGCCCGAGAATCTACATCTTGAAAAGCTCCCGCCCTTTTAAAAGACGCGGCCTGACTTGGGTGGGCACCTCTGTGGAGTGCACATGTGACCCTGACCCCGTGTGAACACAGCCCGAGCGATAGCTCCGGAGGAGGGTGCGATGGTCCCAGTAAAGACTACAGTGATCGCTTCTCAGAAAGGTTGAACAGAACAAAAGGAAAGCAGTTCTAGGCTTTAAGCTGAAAGTAGAGTTTCCAGTATGTTCTTTTCACACCAAATAGTGAACCTTTACACAGACTCTGAGACTCAGAGCCTAGTAAGGTTCTTGGACAAGAGGGACCTTCAGGATTACAGACTCTCACCCCCCAGACAGACTTCCGTGCACACTGATGACAGAGAAGAGGTGTGGGGGGACTTTGTGCTAACAGTCAAGCCTGCTCCCCTCTGCCGGTCTCAGCATCTGCGGGGCAGAAGGCATCAGGGTCCCCTGTGTCGCAGACTGGCTTGCGTGCTCCAGCTGTGAGTGACTGTCAGAGTTGGTCAAGTGGATGTGGAGACTGGGCTCTCCAGACAAAAATAGACTACCAATTATTTTACATGAAAACTTGTAGCAAAAAGCTAATTTGTGGTTATTATTCCATTGAAACCAATTGTAAAATTTGTACTGTACTTATTACAAGTAAGTCACTTCAGCCCCCTTTTCATCTAATGTCTTCAGCTTTAGCCCATTAAGGGGCAAATTGGTGATGAAAAAAGGACTCTGACAAAGTGGCATTTGATGGCAGGTCCTGGGCTCTGGGACTCCTGCGAGGAGACGAGGAACAATTACTGTGGTGTCTCCAGAGTCTTGACAGCATCATGGAGGTGGTGCACTGTCAGCCGGGCCCTGGAAGATGGGTGGACATTAGAAATGTACGGGGAGGAGACACTCTAGTTGCAAACACGGCCAAGTGTCCGTCATTCAGAGCACGGCTCACAAGCACAGCCTGGCTGTTCCCGCATCTCTCTGCGGTCAGTCTCACACACCTCGTTGTTGATGGTGTACCCTATAGTCATCTTGCATGGGATGCAAAAAGGGCACAGAGGAAGTTCGGATACGTTTAGCCAGACCCCAGGATGTCTCAACAGTTCTCTGGAGAGCTAAGGGAGCAACTGGTGGTGGAGGGAAAATTCTCACTCTTTAGAGGTTGAATGAAGGGGTCTCCATATGTGGCTTTGCAGACAGCTTGGCCGTGGGAAGGGTGAGGTTTCCAGTTTGTACTTTGGTGACTTACCTGTGTGTCAAGCACTCGAGATCACACCTTGCTAGTGGGCTAAGAGAGCGTCTCCAAACTTGAAAACAAAGACTTGGCCATGCTGGCCTGGGTCACAGCAGTCAGGTGCGCTGTGCAGGATGGAGGAAAGGCCTGCGGCCCACTGAATGTCTCAGTTTTTTATCAGGGCTTTTCTTATCAGTTACTTTTCGACCGTTCCCTAAATCTTTTTTTTGGGGGGGGGGACAATGCAAGTTTTTAATAATCCTTTAAGAAAAAGTTGGGGCTCCTCAGCTGTTCAGACTTCTCAGTGTAAAGGAGGGCTTGTTGAGATATTAAAAGAGGAAGTTATGGCCCTAAAATGTTGGAGGACTTTGGAATGTGTAGGTGGTTAATACTTGGGATTTATAGTTTTTTTAAAAATATATTTTATTGATTATGCCATTACAGTTGTCCTATTTCCCCCTTCATTCCCCTCAACCCTGCACACCCCCTCCCCCACCATTCCCCCCTTTAGTTTATGACCACGTCTCAAGTTCTTTAGATTCTATATTTCCCATACTATTCTTGCCCTCCCCACCCCCGTCTACTTTCTACCTACCGTCTATGCTACTTATTCTCTGTACCTTCTCCCCCTTCTCCTCCTCCCACTTCCCTGTTGCTAACCCTCTATGTGATCTTCATTTCTATGGTTCACTCCTGATCTAGCTGTCCTCTTAGTTTGCTTTTGTTTTAGGTGTGGTTGTTAATAACTGTGAGTTTGCTGCCCTTTCCCTGTTCATCTTTTTTATCTTCTTTTTCTTAGGTAAGTCCCTTTAACATTTCATATAATAAGGGCTTGGTGATGATGAACTCCTTGAATTTGATCTTATCTGAGAAGCACTTTAACTGTCCTTCCATTCTAAATGAAAGCTTTGCTGGATAGAGCAATCTTGGTTGTAAGTCTTTGGATTTCATGACTTGGAATAAAAATCCTTTTTTTGAGATGTAAATTTAAGCTCCTTTTTTCTAGGACAAGTGGCCACAATTGGTGCTGCCCAGGTTCCTTGCCTAAGAGCTATCTATCTTTGGAAAATTTCAGAAGGGCAGTGGAAAAGCCACCTTGTTCTTTCAGTCCCATGCACTGCTGTCGTAGGGGTTGGGGTAAGCATGGGTCTGGGTTTCGTTTCAGGCTCTTGAGTGCACCAGGAATGACTGACTCTCTGTCCGGAGTCATAAACTCATCTACCTGGGACATTCCTGCCGTGGACTGGAGATTGGACTAGATGAGCCCTGGATTTTTTTCTAACTTGAAGTTAGTCAGTGGTTGTAGATTAAGACGTGGTTCTAGCCGGACCTATGACTTGGTGCTTGGTGAGGTGGTCAGTGCTGTTTGCCTTTAGCGTGAGGTCACTGTAACCACCTTAATTTAGTTTTTTCCTTCTCTTGAGTGGCCAGGGCACTGAGAAGCAGCTGTTAAACTAGTATCAAGCCATGTGATAATTCTGAATGTTTTTTTCAAATGCTGTCAACTTGGGAGGTCATCACAGGGGTGTGACTTCACGTCTGTGAACGGGAAGGGAGTCAAAGGGAGGCTTCAGTGTTGGCCTCACTCAGCGTGCTGCCTGCTGTTGGCAGGTCTCCGTCCCCTTCTTCCTTGTTGCGGGCACCTCCCCAGGCGCCGGGGGCTGTGCCTCCGCCCCCGTGACTGCCCAGACAGCTCTTCCCCCCATCCCAAAGGTCAGCCATTGAATTTGAGGCAGGTGTCCACTTAGATTTTATTGAATGCTTATTTTTCTTTACGTTTGCTGGTAAGTCCAAGAGTGCCCAGTTTCCAGGTCACCATGCATTCTCGATGGTGGGGGCGACCGCTGCCCTGCTGCTCCCACAGTGTGAGCGGTGGCTCGGGAAGGTTGTGGTGGTTTTTTATGTGGACGTGATACACCGAACCATATCAAGTGTGACTTTTGATCTGAGTCCCAGCTGAATGTAAATCCAGGGAAGATTTTTTTAATAGTTACTTTCATCTTGTGCTTTTATTTCTGAAAGTCACATGTAACCAGCACCAGAAATATATATCACAGGTATATGTATGGTATAGGTATTTTTCTTATTTATTTGTAGAACTCAGCATTTTATGTGGACTGTGAGTCGTTGGTTCAAGCCCTTCAGGAACTGCCTCTCTCACTCCGCCTCAACGTTGCTGCTGAATTGGTCCAGGTAAAGCCCCGAGGGCATCTTCCAGTTGGTGTGGATTGGGGCAGAGGAGACAGAGTGCAACGACTCCGCTTCTCCTTTCATAAAGCTGAGGGTTTGGGGTTGGGTAGCATTTTGTAAAGTTTTAAGGGAGAATTAATTTCTAAAAAGTTTTTAAGAAAATAATTGAAACATTTTGAAGAATTGAATGTAATGGAGTTGAATGAAATATAAAAGCACAGAACCTGGCTGGTACTTTTCTCAAAATAATCATGCTGGGTACTAAGAATACAGTGTTTGAGGAGACAGACGCGGTTCCTGCCCTTGAGGTGCTTGATCTACTGGGGAAGATGGGTACTAGTCGGATTATCACCCAGCTTTACAAATTGTGGTAAGTGCTTTCGAGGAGGAGCACATTGTGCTGTGAGAGTACATGACAGTGAAGCTGATCTACTTTGGTGTGATTAGGAAGGGATTTTCTGAAGAAGTGACAGACAAGCTGAGATCCAAGGTAGAGGAACATTTGATGAACTTTAGAGAAGAGCGACCCAGTAGATCTGCATTAACAGCACTGCCGACACCACCAATAACAAGAACCTGCTGGCAGTAGATGAGGAGTGGGCTGTGGGGCGGGGGCGGGTGTTTGTGGGTAAAAACGCACTCACAGGAGGAGAGGAGACGAGGGGAAGCAAATGGGGAGGCAGTCTCGTGGGTCCAGGTGGGCAGTTCTGTGGCCAGGACCAGGGTGATGACGGTAGAGATGGTACGGAACTGGACTTCCCAAGAGGTACTTCAAAAGACAAGCAGACTTGGGGAAGGACAGCAGTGGAGAGAGAGCAGGTGAGGAATTGTTCTAGGTTTCCCAGCTGTGTGACTCAGTGGTCGGTCGTACCAGAAAGGGTGAGGTTTGGACATTACGGGTCTGTGCCTCTGAGATACCAAAGTGAAAATATTAGCCAAACAGATACAGAAATTTATAGTTCAGAATTAGGGGCCAGAAATAGAAATTTGGGAGATATCCATGTAGGATGGCAATTGAGGGGAAAAGGCCCAAGGACTGTACTATATGGAACTTCAAAATTTAATTGTGGCCTGATTGAATTTTTTAAAGTGAAACCCTGGGCAATAATGATTTTAAATAGAATCCCAGCAGCTAAAATGATCAACTTTGTTCTGCAGTTGAATGTGATGCTGTTTCTATTGCACTTGCGAGTCTCTAATTTAGGGCTAGAGGACAGTCAGGGGCAGGGAAGTACAGGGGGCGGCATGCAGCTCTGATTGGGAATCGCCCCAAGGTGGCTTTAGGAACATGGTGGGGTGATATTTGGGGTCGTCCCAGTGACTGGGACGGTGCTACTTTTCCTGCTGGGAGTCCAGGTGTTCCAGGTTCTCACCTGTTCAGTTTGGTGCCACACCATGAGGAGGGGTGAACAGAACACATCAAGGAACCACCGAGATGAAGCTGAGGGGGGACCCAGGACTCAGGAGAGAAACAGGAAGTATAGTAAGAATTTGAAAGTGAAGGTTGTGTTGGCAGCAGGCCTTGAGTAAAAAAGTATATAGCAACTGCAGTAACTTTGAAACCCTGGCTAAATCTTTAAAAAATCCCTCTCCTGCCCTCTGTGAAGTAGTTAATCTCAACTGAGTTTGCACATTGGGACCCCCAGGGGAGGAAAACAAACCAAAAGATGGCAGTCTAGAAGACCACATCCCAGCTTCGCCCACACCCTGACAGTGATGGATGAACATTTAAGTCTAAGTGTATAATCATACTGTCTTAAAAGCCCTGGAGAGCAATTAGCAAATTGGATCTGCTCTGACGCTTTACTGCCCAAACGGGACAATGCAGCCAGTGGTAGTTGAACTTCACTCTGAGCCCCTGCACTCGGATGCCACGCTCGCCCAGGCCTCCGTCCGGAGCAGCAGCTCTCAGCCTGAACTCTGCATTAGTGTCACCTGGGGGTTTCCCCGTCTACTAAATTATAATGCGGATATAGGAAAGTGCGTGCACAGGTTATACTTATATATAAATACTTTTACAACCATGAACTCCAGAAGCTCTCTCCCTCCCACTACTCCGAGTCACCATTTCCCTAAAACCATTATCCTGATTTCTAATATTAAAGATCAGTTTTGCCTGTTTTTGGCTTTTTAAAAATGCAAGTAGTATGTTTCTTTCATGTCTGGCATGTTTTACTCATTATGGAGAGCCAGTCGGTCTTCCCTTCTCTGTGAATTTGGCCAGTTACCTTCATTTAGTGCTTTTGGACCATTATCAGATCTGATTTGCTGTTTGCTTCTCAGCGCCTTTTACAGAGGTTTACATCTCACCACAAATGCGAGTGTACATTCAAGTAGACCTGTGGCACTGTCACCGCTCAGGCCTGACAGAAGACACGACCCTCTGAGTTCAGCTCTCAGCCCAGAGCGGAGGTGGGGACAGTGGGACCTGCAGCCCTGTTATGTTTCAGTGAGGTGTCCCACCCACCCTGACCCCAAACCAGAGACCCTTGGTAAACGTCCTGTCTGCATTACCTCTTGTCCATGGAGTTTGATGTCTTCCTCAGCTTCCGTTTCTGTGTAAGCAAGTGTGGCAGGACTCCCATTTTCAACTCAGTTATGCTTCTCTTTCAGACTGCCCTTCCTTTAGAGCTTCCTCAGGTGAAACCAAAGAGAAATGATGAAGGCAAGGGATTGGGCATGCAGTTCAAAGGGCCACTGGGGCCTGGAGGAAAGGGGTCTGTGCCTGAGCTGAAATCTGCGGCCGCAGGCTTCCCCATGCACCTGGGTAAGGACAGCCCAAGTCCGGGCCCTGCACAGGGTTCCCAGAAACCCGCCTCGCCCCTGCCATCAGCAGCGGACCACTTGGAGGAAGAATTAGATCTGCTGCTCAACTTAGATGCACCTGTAAAAGCGGGAGAAGACCTCTTACCAGACCAGATACCCCAGGCCCTGGAATCCGAGAAAGATGGGGAGGTGGTGGCCCAGGAAGAAAAAGGTATGGTTTTCATTTTACTCCCTAACCATCTCCTTGATTCTCGCATTGTGGTGAGAACAGCCTCACCGGTGGCACATCTGTACATGAGTCCCTTGGTGTCTGACGCTGATCTGGCGTCGTCTAGTTACATCTATTTCCGTGCTCACATCTCCGCCTCCCGCGCAGTGACCTTCCTCTCACTTGATGTACCAGCTTCCAGAAGCTGCTGCCTGCCTCCCTGCAATGTTCAGCCTGGGCTGCGAACTGAACCTGTGCTATGAAAAGGCACTAAGGTACTCGCAGCCCTCAGTTGTGCAGCAGCAGGATTTTAATGGACTGTCTGAACAGGCCAGTGAACCAACGCTTCCCATGTCGTGCCTGCTATTTCAATCTTCCTCTTCGTGAAAGAAGAGCACGTCCTCATCTGTGTTTGGGGCGAGGGTGGCCTGGGTACCTGCCCCGGCCATGTACTACTTTCGAGAACCTTTAATGATGTCTCAGGATTGCTACAGTAGTAAAAAGAAAACCAAGCTGCTGGTCTTTAGAAAAAACTAGTGAACTGTGAAATTCAAGTTAAGAATAAATAGAGGAGCATATTTCTACCCTATTTATTAATTTGTTTAGCTATTAATTATTGTATCTTCCTAGGGAACAGGAATAATAAGGGAATGTTTCCCCTTGCTGTAAGAAAAGTAATAATTATGGCTACATCATGGAGCAAACCCCAGGGGAGCCTCAGTCTGCAGACTAATGTGAAGTTGTTCACATTGTTCTTATTTCCCCAGTTCTTGTGAGACCGTGTGTGATGGAAGAAAAGAACGTGGAATCTGTGCAACCGAGCACATCAAAAAACGTTACCGAGGAAGAACTTGAAGACTGGCTGGACAGCATGATTTCCTAACAAAAGAAGAGGAGGAGACAGAAAAAGGAAAAAAGTGCCTGAAGCTGATTTTGGTCGCTCTGTAAGTGAGGGTGGGCCCAGGCTGTCCGTGAGGAACAGTGTGCCCAGGCCAGCGCACTCCGCCACCGCAGTGACACCTGCCTCTGACAACACCCGACACATTTTTCTCTGGCTCAGTAACCTAAGACACTCATCAAGGGCAGGTGATGTTACAGTGCTTGTTTCCTGCCTTCTTCCTCTCACTATTTATCTAATAACAGAGCAGGCTCTGCTGAAGGGACTGGAGCAAGCCACGAGGCGTGCATTTGGCCAGAATAAACAAATGCTGTTCTGTGGAGTTTTCTTCTTTTCTGTGCGGGGCTTTAGGCTATTTGTCTCATGTCCCGTCCCCCAGCAGTCACAGTGGGGTTGTGGTCACCCAGAAGTGGTGCATCACAAGAGGCCGAACCACAGATTGGCATGTATTACTTTATTGCAGTGGGCACTTCATTTTATTTAAAGAGAGTCACCTAAACATAGCAGCGCCACTACTTACAAAGGACCATAAAGCATTACGCGACTTGGCGTAAGGTTGAGAGTTTTCTGAGTTTTCAGTACAGTACTTTTCTTCTAATAACAGCAATTGACAAGCTGTTACTGAAAAAAATATAACCTTCAAGTGCAGTTTCTTAAGACCAGAGATCGGCACGACTATTTAATGGAACTTTCCATCTGGGACATGAACATAAAAAACTTGCATAGCTATATCTAAAGAGATTTTTAAGGCACTTAATCGATATTTCAGTGTCGACAAAGTGTTGTGTTTTTTTTTTCCTATTTCTTTAACTGCTTAAAGCTTTTCAAGCTGATTCTGGGTACATTCACTAGCAAGTACCATGGGAAAAATTAGACTGCAGTCAAAATGATTTTTTGTAGTTCAGACCATGAGTCACTCACTGGTGGATACTGTCACGTGACAGTCAAGGGTCTTAAATTTCATGTGTTATGCGTTCAAGACCTCCTGTGCTCGTTCTTGTCTCGGTGCTGCCGTCCCGACAAACCAGTCACCTTGGACTTGGAGCACTTGAGGGCATTCAGCTGGAGAGTCCTCGACCGGACCTTGTGACAGGCCATCCCCCCACGGAGCGTGTCCATTCCGCACAAGGAGCCAAATCAATTCCAAACACCACATAGACTTTTTAACAAACACTTTCCTTGTGGTAAGGGAGGCATTTAGAAAATGTCACCTTTCAAAAATGTCGCAGAAGTGTAAAAGAAGGATTTTAATTCCACTTTAACTTGATAGTCTAGAATTGTGGTGTTTCTTTCATTCAGGTTTATCCAAGCTGATCTTCATACTGTTTCCGAAAGCAGTCACCAGCAGGGAAGAAGTCCCAGCACCTTTCTTGGTACATCTTCCAGACGTAGGATTCCTGAAATAATGGGGGGAAAGATACAGCTTTTAAACCACAATAACCTGAAAGTCTGGTTTTGTTCTGTGCATGTCCCTGCAGGACACTGATGTGGGTTTATAAGGGGCTCACCTGGCACAGTCTTCCCTACCCTATGCCCAACCTGTTTTGGAGCCATAGTTCCCTCCAAATGGCTGAAACCAGGTCACTGATTGTCACTGACAAAGATGTAGTGACAGGCCGATTCCGTGTTGTTGGTAACTGGTAGAACAATGCAAGATGAGGGAACATTGAGGACTGGCTTAGATGCCTGGGCAGCTAAAACCAGATCTGGAAACCAGCTGCCCCTCTCTCGCTCAGAAGTTTGAGCTCCGAAGAATTCCTGCAAGTGCACTGGTGTGTGAATACTTGATAACTTGCCTCTTCCTCCTGTGTTCTCTGTCTCTACATTTCTTTTTCAGCCTTCATTCACTCACACAGATAAGGCTGTCCTTCTTATGCGGTTTCTTGCAGCATTTTACTATGATTCTCCTGCTCTTTGTGTAGCCGCCCACTCAGCTTCTCATTACCTTTTTCTCTCTCTGATGCTCCCTCAACCTCCAGCTATTTTACTCTGAAGCGACAACCACAAGGATTTAGGTAATGTCAGCGTGGGTTGGGAAGGGTAACCAGGAAGTCTTTGGAAGAGACTGGGGTTGCCTTAGGATTTTGGCTGCTTACGTCTCACAGGGATGGCAGAGAGCAGTGGGGAGACTGCCGGGCTCGCCCGTCCCTGCAGCAGCCCGCGCCCTGCCGAGGCTCGGGACCAGCGACCCCCTCACACGGGGCGGGGGCAGGGGGGGCTCTTACTTAGACACTTTTCCTCACCTGACCCGTGTGCTCTGTCTCGTCTTTGTTAATCAGGTACATCAGGAAGAACCTGGGACGAGGGAGAAGGGGGTAATAAGTGAGAAAAATACTGCAGTTAGGAAAACGAATGTCATTTACCCAAACCAGACAGGGTCCTCAAGTGTGTTTTTAGCACCGTGCTGTCGACGAGGCCTTTCTGAATCAGAGAACTGTGGCAAAATAACACAAGCCATCATTTTCTAGGAATAACGTGAGGTTGAGCTCCAATGAGCCTTTGTTGCGGTGAGATCCCTTTTTACCATCTCCAGTCCTTGAGCTAAGATCACGCGTGGGGAAGCATTTTGCCTACCATTTTAAAAATATCCCAATTAAACAAATAATAACTCAAACACTGTAATTGTTAGTAGGCCAATTTATCATTTTATAAGAAGGTAGAGTTGAAATTACATGTTTGTCTAGACGATAAGGACTTTTTGGAAGCATTGAAGTCGCTCTGATTCTTTCAGAAGCGCGGTCCTGTTTTTACTGTGGACACCGAGAGGCACCGGTGTGGTTGCACCTGCCTGACTGCCTGGAACACACACGTGTCCCGGGAGGCCGAGCTGTCAGCTCGCGTTCCAGGACCTCGGCAGCAGCTTCCAAGGGAACCAGTCTCGTGCCCTTTAGGAAAAGGACTCTGAGGCTTCTGGTAAGAAAAAGTGGAACTAGTACTCTTCGGAGGGTCAGGAGAGCCTGAGCCCCCAAATCTGAGTTCTCTCAGGGCACCCTTCCTTAGGTTTGTAGCTTCAGAGTGTGGCTCTCAGTACAGCCTACAAGCATATTCGTTTCCTTCCTCCCTTTTATCAGACTAAAACAAGGCCTGGCCAATATCTTACCCTGTTTGAGATCCAGGAGTGTAGGATGTTATTTCTTTCTTAGCACATTTATTTGAGAAAGCCCCCACCATGTTGTGGAGGGTGGCATTCAAACCAGAATAAAATGGGTTCTTACCCCAAGCTTGTTGGTAGAGGTGTCCGAGATAGAAAATAGGGTAACACAGAGGGCTAGGGGGAGACACCCCGCACATAACACCGTTTCACCCCTCCCTAGTCGCTGGACCTGAGGTAAAAGGAGGCCGTGTGCCCACCTGCTGCGGAAGGACAGCTGCCCCCATCACCTCCACCAGGAGGGGCACTCCTGTACTGTGCAGGACAGTGTGGACTCCTCAGACTTGAGGGCGGGTGTGCCCCAGTTACTTTTTGAACACTTGTGTTTAAGACACTACATTTTGCTAGTGCTTTTTGACAGTAACACCTATGCCAGATGCCACACCTGTTCCATCTTAAAGAAAGATCAGGCCTTTTTAAATACAATGTAGACACAGGGGGAAGGGCGAGGCCAGAGAGCAGCCTTTTTTTCCTTGCAAATAAGCTCTTGCAGGGGTGTCCAACCTTTTGACGTCTCTGGGCCCCACTCATAGCGATTCTGGGCTGCGTACAGACCACAGGTTGGACACCCCTGATGCCCAACAGAGGCTGAATTTCAGGGAATCCGTATTCTCGATACATTCTGCAAGTCCATGGCACATGATAGGCTCTGATTAACTTGTTCTCAAGTGAATGCTTTTCCTTAGAAAAAGTTAAATATTTTTTCTTTGCCTACTGGGTGCCAGGCCTCAGTACTGGGGTGAAAACACGTCCCCACCTCCTGCTATCACGGAGCCCGTGTACTCCTAGGAGAGGATGGACTCTGTGAGGGCTGAACATCACGGAGTCCAGCAGTGTGTGGTCACAAGGCGAGGGGGTGGTGGGGAGGGAGCAAAGGGGGTGGACAGAGAAATGGCAGACAGTAAGGGCGGGTGCTTGTAAGGTTTGCTGGATGAAGAGAGAGAAGCGGGGCAACAGCTGTAGGTTAAAGTGGGGCCACAGACTTTTGCCTTTGTGTAGAGTTAAAAACATTGTAGCATGGTAGGAAAATTCTAGGGAAAGAAGTTGCTGGAGGTATGTGACCTGCAGAGGGAATGGCATCTGATCCCAGGTGGAGGGACTGACCTTTGCTCAGAGAAGCAACCGTCTGTCCACGGCACAGGTCTATGAAAACACGGGAGGGGACGAGTGTCTGGACAAAGACACGCACTCAGGGGGACTTCTGGAAAATTCTTTCCTAATTGCCTCTACTTTTCATTGAAATAGAAGGAAATGGCAGCATCAGCAGAGACTGAACTGAATGACGTGACTGTTGACTTTGCCACCCCTTGTTGCCCCCATGGACCACGAGTACTCACAGGTAGTTGGCCAAGTTGTGCTCTTGTAATGTATGTGTTTCAAAGCCATGAGGGGTCGTGTCAAAGTAGTCATTGCCGATCCCACAGATGAAACATTTGGTCTAGAAAAATACCAGAGGCAGTAAAGGCGTTAGTGAGACATTACGGGCAGGTGGGAAAAGGGTGAGGGGATCTGCTGGAACTGAGAGACACTGAAAACTACTTCTCTCTCAAGTACTCAGGCCGTAGTCATCTACCCCCAGTGCCGCATCGTACCCGGCTCCTCGTTGCTGAGGATACTTGCTCCTGCCCACCCATGGGACACACAGTGGGGGCAGCGGACCGGGAGGGGGGTGGAGTGGTGCAGAACACGGGGGGCCCGAAATGCCCAGAGTTGTTAGGCACCAAGATGAGGACGGGAGTGGGAAACAAATTTTTTGGAAGTTTTGCCCAGGGCTGGCCCTAAGTACTAGCAGAACCTGTTGTTCACCATTTTTATTTGCTGTGAGGTAGAAACAGTAGTTAGGAGAACATTACCTCCATATCTTCTCGCACTTGTTCCTGCTGGTCTCTCAGCTCTCCAAAAGCATCGATAATGAGACCTAATTTTGCATGTAAAGACAAAGTTTCTTAAATAATCTGTTCAGTGGTTCAGGGTAGAGGAAGACAGAAGGAATTACAGAGGCTGCTTTGTTTTGTAAAACAGTAAATCATCAAGCTGACCTATTCAGTAAAAATAAAATCAGAAAAAAGTACTTTATTTTCAAATGCTGCACCCTGGCTAACCATTTCTCATGTCCCTCTGACTCAGCCTTGCTGCAGTGTCAGCCTTTCTGCAGTGTGTGCTGCTAACAA